AACAAATAAATTATTTTTCCATTACTTTTTAGATTACCCTTAATTACCATCATTTAGAAAAGCAAATTTTATGTTTACTGTTAACAATGTAAATGATTTATTTAGTTCGACCAATATAATAATTAATTATGTACAGATTGTAATCAATTGTAAAGTAATTTAAAAGCAATCATAATTTTTGATTATCGCATTTTTTCCATAAATCATAATGATATATTTTATATTAATAAACATAGTAATTAATTGTAATTGAAAGAAATTAACAAATAATCATAATTTTTGATTATCGCATTTTTTCCATAAATCATAATGATATATTTTATATTAATAAACATAGTAATTAATTGTAATTGAAAGAAATTAACAAATAATCATAATTTTTGATTATCGGAATTTTTTCCGACAATTATTTATAATAATATATTTAATATGAATAAGGATAGTAATCAATTGTAGTTGAAAGTAATTAAAAAATAATCACAATTTATGATTATCGTAAATTTTTCCTACACCAGTAATGCTTCAAATTATTTCTTTTTTGATGGTAATATTGTTCGTTGAAGATAAAAAAGTGAAAATAATGGTTATTAATATTAATTACATAGATAGTAATTAATTGTGATTAAAAGTAATCATAATTTTTTATTACCGGACTGTTTTTCTGACAATCATAATAAAATAAATATACTATATTAATATACATATATAGTAATCAAATGTAATCAAATGTAATTAAGAGTAATTAATAAATAATCATATTTTTTGATTACCTGACTTTTTCAAATACTTCATTTATACTTTTTTTGATGGTAATAGCTCGTTAATGATAGAAAAAATGAAAAGTAATGGTCATTATCTTAAAAAATTATACTTATCGCTAAGCATTATATTTAGTAATCATAATTTACCAGCTCAATATTTACATATAACATGTTTTAAATTTTTATTAGAAAAATATGTCTGCCAATGTGCAATATAAATATTACTATACGATTACTTTAATTTTAATTAATATTTTTATTTATTTTTTTTAATATTAATTAAATAACAAATTGTTTTGAAACCGAAATACTCACTAATAGGCGCAAATTACCAATTGAACAGTGTTTTGTGTTTAAAATCAAAAATCACCCACAACCATTGACAATTATTATTACGTACTTACTAATAAAACAAGAACAGCTATTATAATTTTTTATCTTTTTGTTGTATCTTATAAATTGGAAGTGTCTATATCTTTCGCAGACAAATTTTCGTTAATTGGTCCTAATTTGTACATACTATATATACAGATAAATATATATTTAGTCTCATTTTAAGATTTATTGTAGGTACTTAAGTGTAATTCAAGTGTTTACTGAATATCCAACTGCAAAATACACTTCTATGGGGCTCACTAAGAAGGCGTATGCTGCGCTGGATGGTTTTTTTTTTTGCCTTAAGAACGCTTAAAATTTCTAATTAGGTTTCTTAAGTGTCATTTCATTACAAACATTCAGAGGCTGACAACTATGTATCGGTAATTATATAATATGTCTTATATATATTTACATACGTATATACATGACTTATTATCGCGCTTAAAATGATCGTTGTCTGCTTAGATACTGCTGCAGTGTACCTTCGAACACTGCTTCAAACAAAAAATGCAATTAGTTTCGTTCACTTTTTAATTAAAATACATTTTCGTAATGAAATGTGAAGATTTTCGTAGTTTAATTTGAAGTATTTGTGTAAAAAATCAAATTACTGTATTATATTGGCTCAAGTTTCACATGCAAGGGCGGCTTAAGCTAATTCCAAGTTAGAGGATGGAAGGCATTTAGAAAATACTAACGTAGGCTCAAAAGAAAAATCTTGAAAAATTTACTTCGTCTCCTTTGAATTTGACAGTTAAAAAATTTACTGTTGGTAATGTTTTCTAGTTTTAAGGATATACTACGTGGGCAAAAAATAGTTTAATAAAAATTTCGAGCGAAAACCCATTCGGCGAAATATTTTGGTTTTCTTGTTTGATACGATTTTCAGTGATATTGTGTTAGTGTTTGATATACGTTTGTCTTTCTGAAGCACATAAAGTGCATTCGGCGTTTTTTACTCTTGGGTGAAGTTGTTTAACAAAGAAGATCCATTAATTTTTTTTCGAAATGGAGTTTCTGATGCCGAAATATTCAGAATGTTGGAAAAGACTTTAAGTGAAATTGTTTGTTGGGAGCAAGTATTTTGGTTTGGTACAAATTATTCATTCATCATTAGGAAGGTATTAACCAGATCAACTCATCAATAAATAAAAACACAAATAAAGGAATTGGTGATTGAGAATGAACGATTAACAGTCAGAGATCTTATTGGCATCGTTGAAATGTCGGAAAGTTGGGTGAAAACCATTTTTAAAGATCATTTGGACCTAAGAAAAGTGAAAGCGAGATTGGTTCCAAAATAACTAAATATTTTTAAGAACAGCATCGCGTTATTGTTTGTGAAACAATGCTTTCCTAGAACCAATATGTCATGAAACTTGTTATTACTGGCGTTGAGACTTGGATCTATGCTTACGACCCGGAAACGACACGTAAAAGCAGGTCAATATTCAAGCTTATGGTGACAGTTTTCTTAGACTATCGAGTTGTGATTCACTCCGAATTTCTTCCGACTGGCCAAACTGTCAACAAGGAATACCATTTGAGTGTTGTAGTGTGTCGTGTGCCGAAAAATTTTGTTTTTTGAACCACGATAATTCACCATAGCACACTGTATTGATTAAAATTTCGAACAAAGTCTTACTTAAGCGTGAAAATTAAATTTCCCTTTGGCTCTAAAGGAATCTAATTTTTTTTTGTCAAAAGGAAGTAGTAAAATTACTGAAATGTTTATATAAAAATAATATGTTCAGGTTATCAGGCTTTTTACCAATAATGAAGTGAAGAAGTTGAATCGCCCCTGCATTATTGATACGTCTTCACTGTATATTACATATTAAAAAGTTAAAAGTACAGAGAAAACTTTGTATAAAAACTGCATGTACAATAATTTCGGCTTTTGAAAGCAAAAAAACTGTTTACACAAAAAAAGTACTTACAAATTTTATTTCGTTTAAGTTTTTTACAATTTTTTTTTTTAGTTTAAGCTGCTGTTTTATGCATTTATTATTTGTAACCTTCTTTTCCATTATTAATACTAATATTATTTTTATCTTTTTTATGTACTCATTTATATTAGTTTGTCAAAAAAGTCTTGCGGTATCTTTGCGGTATTTTTATTGAATTTTCAATTGTTCAGAGAATTTTTTTTGATGACTCATGCCCAGCTCTTGA